CCGATAATGTGATTACTTAAAGGTTCAGTGTGTAATATTTAGGAGGATCTATTGACAGAAATATATAACTATGTTTTCAGTGGTGTATAAATACCTTACATAATGAACCATTATGGGTTTTTTTACCTTAGAATGAGCCATTTCTATCTATATAATCCGTGGGTCCTCTTACATGATAGTCACCATGTTGCATGTTTTTAACAGTAGCCCAAACAGACAAACCGCCTCACAAAGCGTATTCCTTAAAGCCCCGTTTGGCCATGAAGTGAATTAGACAAACCAAAATGGAAATAGGTTAACTTGAAGTCTGACACAAAATACATAGATGAGCTATAAAGTTAACTAAGCCAAAGACCTCTGCCCACAAATGACCAGGAAATACCACAAACTCACTTTATCACCTGAAGAGTCACCATCCAGAAAAGTATAAAGTTTCAAGCACCATCAATTAGACTCATCCCCTCGAAGGAGCAGCCAGGCAAGAGAAACATCTCCACAACAGACCATAACGTTGCGCTAATAGTCACCGGTGAAAATGAGGGATTTAAAATGATGAGTATACATGCACGCAGCTGACATGACACACATTCTTGCCAACCATTTGTCATTATTCCACAGTTTCACTACTCCACAGGTTCAGTGCGGCAAGAAATGTAGCACTGCACCAACAAAGGCAGGGAAGAAGACTGCAAGCTAGTAAATATGCATATAAATAATGCAGGTTTCAAACTTTTAAAGAAAATCAGCTTTGAAAAGAAAGGAAATGTATTTGACAGTTTTGTTAGGCCTCAAGGACACACATTGCGTTTTGGTGTTTACATGTTTACTGAATGTAAAAATGTTTGTTTGTTTACACAAAAACTCCACAGGGCACCTTTAAGAGAACAGTGAACAGAAACTGAAATGATCCCTTAATAAATCCCCTTATTGATCAAGACTAATCATAAAGATGTAGATCAAGAAATGCAGACTAGTTAAAGACGCAAGACAACTGAGATGTGGCTTAAAAACTATTGCATAATAAGGTGCTAGGTTGGGTTGATATGTGTTCAGGATTGCAGAATGTGAGGAAATCTTGCCATGAGTTTATTGCAGTAGCATGTCTTCTCAATCTCTGTATACTTGGATCATTTGATGGAACTCAATTTGCATGCTAAAGCTTTGCATAAGGGGAAGGTCATATCATTAACAAGGTTATTTATCACATCCATACACAGTTCTCTAATAGGACAAAATTACACTGAAGAGAACTGAAAAGAAAACAGAGAAAAAGATTGATTTCTTTTTTGCAGAAAGCTGAAACAAATTTCTCTATTTCAGACCAGTATTGCATTCAAAGAGTTGGAATAAGCACTTTGTTGTTTATCTGCTACAATCTCAGCAGGTTTTCACCATACTCTTTGCGGATATGGAGGCTTTGTGTGAAAAGGAGAGCCTGTTTGTTTTGGACGGGGCTGAGTGCAGTTGAGCGCAGGGTTCACTGCAATGTTTCACTGTAGTGTTAACATTTAAAAGCAGCCAGGGGAGCTGTGCTGAGCTCTTAAAAATAACCAATTCTCATCTCTGCTGCTGACACTCCTGACCTTGGACCATTATCATTGCAGCACACTCAGACGGCTTGGCATGCACAATCTGTACAGAGCTAGCACAATGCACATACAAAGAGAAGAAACAGAGAAGGGCTTCAGCCAGCACGAGGCGCACACACTGAAAGCATGAGTGAAAGCAAATGCAAACACAATCTCGTCTCTCTGAAGAAAAAACAAAAGCTCTTTCTCACTCTCGCTCACTCAGTATACACACACAAATACAGTATATACAAACAAAATAAATCCATGACAGATGAGGCAAACTATAAAGGCCTCCTAAATAATGCATGATGTGTTTTACCTGCACCTTTGCCATGCTCCACTGTCCATGACTACTGTACTTGGGGCAGATATGGGAACTGCTGGGAGGTATTGTTTGAGACTACTTGCTGTTTACCTGCATCTATTCAGGACCTAGCTTTCATCAACCCAAGTCTGATATTTACACACTGCGCTTTAACGTCATCTTGATGTCCCTGTTTCCCGGGGAGAGATTAAACCTAATACTGGACTAAAAAATAATCTATGATGGCAAATGCCAAAACATCAAGGGGCAGGGTTTGTCAGTGTTAAGAGAATCTCTGTCATGTCCCTGTGCTTATTTCAGCAATGCTGTGCAGCACTGTGAAAAAAAACAAATGATGGGTCTTGCTCTGCCTTGTTTCTATTCATTGAAACATTACCTCCACTGTAGAAGAGGAAGAAAAGTAAGCAGGATTATCTCATCCCACTTGCAGAAGATTTTGTAAACAGATTTTTACACACAACACCCTACTTTGTGAAAGTATTCCTGGTCTGAAATGTACGTCACTCAATGCATTTGCATTCAGTAATTATCACTCAATACTGTAGTTTCCAATGTTAGTGGCGGTGTCCGCCAGTACCACTCTGGATTTAAATTGCCTACCTATACACAAGGGATTCCTGAGACATGATGTGTGCTATGTTGGGTTACTAATGCAAACTGAACAATTTCCTACTGCTGCTGCTTCACATTAAAAGCATTTGAAACACCAGGCGGCTTTTATTGTGAAGTAGTCACAGGAAATGCAGTGTCTACAAAGCAAGACAACATATTTTTGGGCATTTGTGTGAAAGCGCACTTGCTATTACCACAGTAACCAGGGGAGTCACGAAATCAACCAGAGTTTATAACTTTAAAAAATTAAATACTACACTAAAATATTTAATAACTTGTTGCAGTGTGTGGATTAGTTTCTTTCACAGCCTCAACCACAATAAGATATGTATTTTGTATTGTTGAATTATGTTTCATCAGTGCCTGAAATACCAGCTTTCCTTGCTCGAATTCACCTTGTTTGTCTGTAGCATGTAACTAAGCCATGACTCAGGATTAAATCTTTCTGCAGCAAACTTCCAGACTTTGACTGACAACACGGCATGTCGGTCGGAAGAAAAGCTCTCTCCTCTTCTCCACTTCAGAGTGTCATAAAGCAGCCTCTCTGTCAGAGCCATGCAAAAACATATCTGACAGTGAATACATTTGAAAAAGCTCTTAGGTGTGTTTGATGTCCAACACTTGAAACCACTCCAAAAGTGAACAACTCACTCACAAGATAAGTCAACTCTTCTTTCCTTCTGTTAATATTCAAAACACCATCATACTATCTTACTCAAGTCAGCTTTTTCTAGCCAATGGTCAGTTCATTAGACTCTTAAAGATAACTTATTACTTTACAATTACACTAGCATTTCATTCTTTTTGTGCATACTGGCAGCATAAAACCATCGTTCTAACCGTTTTATGATCCGTGGTTAGTGGTATAAACAAGATATGCTACATCACCTAAGCTAGTATGATTTTACTTTCTGGAGCTCATGACCATACATGACGGCTGGGACATGGTATGGTCTGGTAAAGTGAGAGCTTCAACTTCAGGCTTTACCACAAAGGTCTGGTACAACGTGCAACATGCATACTCATCTCATCTTAACTTCACTCGTGAACAAGAGAGATCCTTGAAATCCCTCACTAGGGACAACTACTCAGCCCCAACCAGACAGGTCCACAGATTTTGAGGTGGGAACTCTGATTCCAACCATTCACACCAAAGAAAACTACAAAACTACATCATCAGCAAAAAGTACATCCTGAGCATTTTCAAACTTCTCCATTTTGGGTGTTCGGATTTGCCATTTTAGTCTGGACAGCAGATGAAAATGTAGCAAAAGTACTGTGTTTTAAAACAAAAATGTAGTAGTGGGGATGTAGCCTCAAACTCTTGTGACTATTCACTATTCCCCTGAATTGGTGAGCCGAGTTAGTTGTTACTGCACTAGTTTAGTTACTGGATATAATTAAAAGATAGCAGGCTCCTTCATTAAACACATGGTCTTTCCTGTTTGTTATTTTCCCTGAAGCTCAATTAGCCTAGTGTTATATTTAATAAAATTGTAAAAATTCCTTCTGATGTGAGCAGAGTCACTCTTTATTTCAGGCAAGGTGGCGCACTTTCACAATAAAACACTCCAGGAAACCCTGTCTACAAGATCTGAATATGAGGTTTCACCATCGACAGGAGTCTCCTTTCCAGCACAGTGGCATAAGATTTAAGAAGAATGAGCAGAGAGATACACCAATAACAGGAGCACATCCACCAGTGGAACCACCACCCTTGTCAGCCAGTCCATAGGTACTGTCCCAACCTCCATGTGATACTGAAGAGGCGTTTTGAGTAAGAGCTTTCTGACTACTTCAGTGACCTCCATTGGACAGATGGGCAGGTGTCCTTGGATTATGAATAAAGGCTATTCCCTTGAAATGTGATACTTGTTAATAGCATTTCCCACCAGCATACTGTCCCCTTTAAACACACATCAGCAGACAATAAAGTTTATAAAGTGTAGCCTCTTAATTTTGTTTTTGTACAAACCTCATCTTTACAACCTGGATGGTAGCTATCGATATAATGGAGAGTGGGCTATTAAAGCTTCAGGTTAATGATGAGAGTAAAATTGCTAATCTGTAATGAATTTCATGCTTGATTATTATTTCTTATCTTGAAGATGATATTGCTTGCCCTCTAGCTCAGGTAAATGTGATTTGAAATGCCGGGAGGCTTTTGGTTCTCAAAGGTGAACTAAAACTTCACAGATCTGAAATAATATCATGTTATGCTGATGATTTATTTATTTATTTTATTTATTTATTTATTTATTTCAAGCACAATAGTGTGACAACAGAAAAGATACACAATAATAATAACTTATACACTTTTGCTTGAAATGGAGTGGGAAGAAGTAAAACTTATTAAACCCCACCCCAGTGATGATAAACTTTCATGATCAGTTTTCTTCTAATATTCCCACCTTCTCATTTCATTACCGTTGGCTGGGAATCACACCTGTAACCCTAACAGTGTTGTGCTATTGAAATACAGAACACAATACCTTGTTGACCTCCAGGATTTCTCTCCTCTCCTCCGTGGCAGGGCGGCTCTGGCCGGCTGAGCGATCCTCGTGTTTTGAGCTGTCATCCTCCACAAAGGGTATCAGTTGCTGGAAGGGACAGCAAACGAAAAATCTGGCTATATTATTTACTGTAAGCAAGACAACTGTAAGAGGATCTCTTCCTTCATGCTGACATATTCAACTGATTTATATTTCATGAAGTGGAAAGAATCTCCACTGTGAAAGTATCATGTGGCAATCAACTCTGTTTTAAGAGTAGTACACAAAGTAATCAGGACTAAAACTCACTTTCTGATGCACTTTTCTCTTGTTACTCTCTCCTCTTATCTAATCCATGGTCCAGAAACCCTAAAAGCCGGCTGCTGTATATTCACATTTTTCCTATATGCCCGCTGAGTGCTGTTATAGGTCATAACTATGTGCATAGTTGCAATCTCAACCAATGATTGCTATTCTGTACTCAAGATATCCCTGTGCTGTCTCATAATCTTGTTCCCATGAAGTGGCGAAAATGGGGATTGTGTATAAGCTCTCAAACACGGGCTCACTCGTTTCTCTTCAACAAATGGAGAGACAGGACAGAGAGAGAGAGACAGAAAATGAGTGGGAGATTAATTCATTTTTCAACACTCTGTGTGCTTGACCTTGTCTGCTTGACACTACAGTGAGGCTGATGTGCAAGAGCCTTCAGGCGAGGCGGCGCTCCTGAAAGCCGACAGGGTCACTGCCTGCTGCTTTACATCACGCTGCCCCCTAGTGGTAACCTCAGGGAGGAGGAGAGCAGGAGGCTTGCTGCAGTCGCACATGAAGCAATGTGTGAATATCTTGAGAACACACTGTTCCTGGTACAACGCACAGCAAGGACATCGCAAAACAAGGACATAAAGGGCATCACACTAAGAATGCAGGATTAATGCTATAGTGACTGTAATGCACATTACAGAGTTGGTGCACGCTTCTCAGACATATGATACCACTTTTAACGGGTTTCAATTAAATCTACAAAGACAATCTGCAGTAGTTTATTAAACTGGAAGCAAGGAGCTCCAGTTGCAAGAAAAAAAATAACATTTCCAAAAACTCATCTCCAAAGTTTCCTTTCCAAAACAAAAACCAGACAAGATCACAAACACAGATTAGATAGGACACTCTCCAAACAACTAGGAGCAATGTCTTAAAATGGTGGGAAAATACACCATGCTCCAATAACGACATGGCAGGATGCTAATCTAAATCATGCAAAGTTTTTTAGATTATTCTGCTTTGCTACACTGTTTGACCTGAGGTTGTGCAGCTGGTGAGGAGGCTCTGCGGACACCAGACAATGATTAGATAAAGCTGCTTCATCTGGAAGCAATGACTGACTGGTGTTTGGGTCTGGCCAATGTCAAAAACTAACATGAAAGAAACAAAAGAAAAAAAAACGTAGACAGACGGACAGAAATGTAGACAAACGGATGAAGAGAGTAGAGAGGACTGTAAGAGGACGGGCAAAATGTCAGAATGAGAAAAAAGTTAGGATTGAAGAGGTCAGGGATATAGCTGGGGGAAAGAGTAAGAAAGAAAGAAAAGATAAAACAAAATCGGGGGGGGGAAAGGGAAGAGAGAATAAGAGAAACACAAAGAGACAAAGAGGCCAAGAGAGGGGAAAAAAGAATGACAGAGAGATGTAAAAATCTGGATAACTTTCTGTGCTCCTGTCAGTTTCCAGGCCAAGCTCCATGCCAAACTGTAAACCGACTGAAGGGGAGACAAGACAGCAAGGAAATGTGCAGGATATTATATCAGACAAACTATGAGCTTGTCTCTGGCAGAAGAAAACTTTAAGTAGGAAAAGGGGAAAGTTTTTTCATTAGATAATTTCAGACCGAAGCCAATGACATATCGAATTTTAAAGGTAGCGGGCTGATTTTGGCAGCTTCTGGGGGGAAAATGAAATGTGCTGAGTAGGTTGGGAAAGATGGATGGAGAGCGTATTATGTGTGTGCGTGAGTGGGTGCCCGTGTAGCCATGCCTGTGTGAGTCATAACCTCTGCCTCTACCACAGGAAGATGGATGTGGTTTCCTGCCTGACACAGAAGAATGGGCTAATGAAGTTCTGCAGGTTGCCTCGCTGAGACAAAAAGAAAAGGGTAGCGAAGACAAACCGGAAAAATAACAAAATAATAAGAAAGTAGCGGGGTGAGCGTGTAAGAGGAGAGGGAAATGAAATGGAATGGCTGTTCAGTGCAGGAAATGTGGAGAGGAAGAGGAGTAGAGGAAAAGCAGGAGAGAAGGCCAGAGAGAAAGAGAGGGAGAAAGAAGGAAACGGAATTACAGCCAATATTGAGCAGCTATCAGAGAGAAAGAATACAAAGAAAAAGAGGGACAGGAGAAAAAGAAAATAAAGACAGAAAGAAGGAGAAAGTTTGAGGGTTTAGAGAAAAAAGGGGGGAGGAAAAAGCTGCAACGGGTCAGCAACGAATGACAGCTGGAAAGAAAAAGGGGAAAGCGCTGACGTGTGCATTTGGTCCAGCTGTTCATTAAACGGGTCTGTTGCTAATTAGGCAGCGATGAGGTCACACTGCCCGAGTCATTGATTCCACTTCCTGTTTCGGGGCAGCCAATAGTGAGCGCCTGTCAGGTCGGCACCTGAATTCTCCTAGTTGATAAATGGCATGCATGCTGGGGCCAAAATCAACAACCCTCAGCCTCAAACAAACACAGTGAGAGCTGAGCTTTTGGCTGGTCAGCACTGGACTGGGTTCTCAGCCTCAAGAGGAAACGAATAAACATTTAAATAAGGTGGAAATAAGAGGGAGAAAAACGGTGTAATGACTCACTGAAGGCTTACGCCATTACAGCAAAGGAAAATGTCAAAGTGAACCTCTTACAGACTTTGATTTAGGGGCGGAACTGCGGACGAGAGTCATTTTGAACAACCAGTAGATAGATCATTCGAAATGCTTCTGAGCAACTGTATTATTCACTGCAAAAAATGTGCACGGTGGCAGCCATCACTAATTTGTTCCAATTTAAGACTGGTCTCCTCCCACATCCTCCTTTATCCTCAGTAGGAGTCTGGTGAGAGAGATTAGCTCCAAGCCAATCTGTAGAAATTGTGAAGGGACTGCCGCAGTCATAAATCCAATCAAACAGTGGTGGATAGCCTAGCTGTAGTCCTGCATGGAGCCTCAAACAGTGCATGCCCAGTGAGCCAGTGTGTGTAGGTTGAAAAAATGCCTTTGTGACATGCTACAGTGCACCACATGCATGTCTATGTCGTATATATATTTACTGTGTGGGACACAACTGTGCATGCATGTGTATTTCTGTGTGTCTGTGCAGGCAGGCAAGGATGGAGTGCAGCTGAGCTGAAGTGCTGCGGTTCCTGAAGGTGGATGGTGACCGTAACCAGCGGTAAATAGACTCTGGAGACTCACCTGAAGCGACCAATGAATCTGCTGTGAGTGGAGAAAAGACAGACCTAGAGGGAGTAGGTGAGATAAGAGTCCCCCAGGGTAAAGATGTGTATGTGTGTGTGTGTGTGTGTGTGTGTGTGTGTGTGTGTGTATGAGCAAGGGGTTGTGGCAGTAACAATGGCCTACTTCCTTTATAACTAACAGCTTCCTAAATTAGCAGGCACTTTGTGTGAAGAGCTGGGCTATATGAGGCAGTGTCTGACAGCACAAAAGAAATCATGACAAGCATAATGCAGCATGTGTTTGAGTCTGGAAGGATCAATCATTCACGTCAAATTAAAACTGTAGTTATACCACAGTAGTTACAACCACATCATGTTAAGATGTAATTGCCGAGGCAGGTGTGCAGTATGTGTATTGAAAGCATAACTTGATCTGAGGTTGGATGAGGTGGGATGACAACTGCAATAAAACCTGAGAAGAACGTCCTTCTAAATGGGTCACAGGGAATATATATATCAATCTTCTCTGCCTACCTGTGATTGTTTTCACTGTACCAGCTCCATATTGTGGTGGTGGTGGTGGTGGGGGGGGGGGGGGGGGGGTATAAGTAAGTATGAAATAATTACAATGGGTAAATTGATCCTTAAATAAAATGTAAAGAAAAATCAGAAAAATAAGTGGTCAATATCATTATAAAATCATCATTACATCATCATATTTATTTTGTTATTTTATTTTATTGCATGATTCCATTTCAATCCATTTAACAAGTTACATTTCTATTATATTTTTAAAAAGCGGTTAGATTTTAAGTTGCTACAACCTCTCTTATAAGTAAAAATGAAACAGTAAATGATAGCTATGATTTTTGCAGTAAAAGGGTATGCACAATCTTCTTTTGCACCGTATAACTTCATATTTATACTTTAATACCCGTTTACATGATCTTAATTGTTGGCTTCCTCAGATAGACTCTTCCTCTGGAAGGTTTATATATCTTGGTGCCAGTGATGTTTGACTTGACCTGATCATGGTGTTTTTTGAGGTGATTAAGGTGTATGATTAAGGGTAACACACACCTGCAGTGTCTGACACCTGTACCAATTGTTTTCTATGAAAGCACTGTCCTGTTTTCCAAGGTCAATTTTATCACATTCGTTCCCCACATCATCACAATCCAGTGTGTCACATGTCCAGTGTGCTACAGCAACAGAGACATGGCCCATGTATGTTGCATTTAAGGTCCATAACGTTAGCATGATTCTTTTGTTCATTCTCAGTCAAGAGGTTTTGATCCAACGTAACTGTCAGTAAGGCTTCATGGCGTGCATGGATTAAATTGTTTCCTGTATTCAAACTGGCCCAAACAAATGATGACATGTCATGTGCACACCCCTAAACATACTAATCCAATCACCTTAGTATGACAAAGTCGCATCAAGTTTCGCCACGTCTCACCTCTGGAGGTATGGAGTCCATCCCCGCGCAGTTTTCATTGCATTTGTCGTAGACGAGGCGCAGCTTACGGAACAGCACAGAAAGAGTCCGTAGGTGCTCCTGGAGTTTTCCCAGCCTGTCCTGGTGGGTGTTTGGATGGTAAGTGACTCCATTAGGCAGCTGGGAAGCACCACAATGGAAACATTATGTTAAGTGAAGTATAAGCCTACATTTTGTGCTAGTGCTAATAAAAAGCAACAGCCATTGATCCCCACAGACTGCGAAAAGCACCACAAACACTCCCTAACTGGTAATAGTTCATTAGAAGGCTTCTACTAATGTACAGTGGATGCACATTTGTTTACACGGGTAACAGAGTAATAGCTCCTTTCTATTTCTAGAGAAATGTGTTCAGTGTGTTTGTGTTAATTCAACAATATGGTAATTGGTCTTGATAATATAATAAAATCACAGTTTAAAACTACTAAACACAAACTCAGCTGCATCAAAGGTTAACTTCTTCAGCTGCTGCATTTTGAATGTTTCCACTCACTCTCTAGCGGAGGCGGCATCACTGACTTTTAACTACAATGGGTGTTAAAGAGTAACAAGACATGTTTTTTATTGAGAGGATAGACAAGCCTCTAGGGCAGCACTGTCTTATTATAAGTATCCTACATAACATGAAACAAGCCTGCCTTCAGGGCAAGCAAAGCGAAGAGAGAGACATAGAGAAACAGAGGGGAGACAGACGGGGGGGGGGGGGGGGGGAGCCAGGGAAGAGAAGATAAATGAAGATTTTTTTTTATGAGTAGAAAGACAGTCTGTCATCTAAACAACAAGTCACAACAATTCTGTTGTACATTCTGTGGCTGCGGCGTGCTTGTTTGGCCCTTCTCTGGCTGTGATTTTAACAAGGTGCAGAAGGAGTGCCACCGCAGAGCAGGGAGACATCCATGATAAACTCATGCTGACCTCGTCTTCAGGACACTGTCAGAGCTGAACTACATGTGAACTGCAGAGCTAAATGATATGAGGGTTAATATCCTGAATAAAATGCTAAAGAAATCGATTAGCTTAACTTTGAAAGTAATTTGACAACTTCCTGCCATCACTTGATCACACTAATGTACCCTGTAATGTACGGTATCAGTATGACACATAAGGACTGTGCATTGATAATATTTCAGACAACATACTCTCTGAACAAAAAGATTTAATGTAGGGCCAAAAGTTAGTATGTGGCCCTAATTGCTTTTACTAACACTTCATACAACATCACTGCTGGGGAATACGCATTTTTGGTCATCACACATTTTTATTCCACTGGTAGGCAAGGAAAAAATTACTACAACTTTGATTTCAAGTATAATCTGGCCACACTATATAGCTGCTTTGCATATGTGAGAGATTGGATGTTGCTGTTCAACTCTGGGAAACAAAAGAGGCCCTATTCATCAGCCTCTCTTCACAAATGCAACCAGTGCTTGGAACCTTTTATTCCTACAATCAAGTGTTTTTGAAAGACCTTTGGTGTTCTTTGTGACAGTGGCCTAAACATTAAGCAACACAAAAATCATGTTTGTATTAATTCAGGGACATTTTAGCTTCAAATTGTGCAGAATTCTGCAGGCAGGCTGCAGACTACTTTCCCTATATAATCCACAATTTTAACTTCTTTCAGAATCCATACAAGGCCTTAAACGGTCACCAGATCACATGAACTTTAAACTCTCTACTGTCCATAAATGCCTGTGGCGTAAACTTTTGAGATGAGTTGAAGTTAAAAATCAAGGGCTGATGAAGCTTTTGGACGGTTGTACTGATGTCTCTTGACGCTGGAACAGCCTCCAATTTAATTTTCAATCTGCTTGCACTGTCTGTTCTTAAATCCTGCATCAAAACATATTTTTTTAAGAACGGTCTTCCTGAATGACAGCTGTTTTGTTATTTGCATAATAGTGCTACAAATAACAATCTGTCATGTTACCATCAGACCTATAATTAATATTTTACATTCTTTTATATATTTTTTTATTTTGTGTTTATCTTTTGGCTTTTTATGATCACATTCTGCCATTTTATCTTTTGTATTGATCTGCTGACTCTCCATATTGCAGTTTTTACTCTCCTCATTCCATTAGCAGAAGGAGAGGCAACTGAGGGGGATTGTATCCTATCTGTCAGACATGTGGGCAGAGAAACAAGAGTGTGACAGACCTGCATGTTCCTGAGGAGCTGGAAGATCTCCATGGTCCTGAGGACAATGTCTTGGACTGCCTCCTGGCCAATGCGACACAGCGAGGCTGTGTTAACATCACGTGCTGCCTGGGCCTGCTGCTGTTGCTGAGGCGGTGGTGGCTGCCCGCCAAAAGGTGACACTAGCGGAGGGGTTGTCATGAAGACCGCAGATGAGGATGCTGGTGGAGGAGGACTGGGTCCAGCTGAGGTGTTACCTGTCAGACTATTCCACACCAGCACTCCCTTACATGCCTTCATGAAGTGGAGTTTTACAGCGTAGGAGAGGAAAATCAAAATGAATAAGAAACTTGGGAGTTAATGTAAACACTGCATTTCCTCACGTATGAAAGTATCTAAAGAGTGATAAAAGATAGCTACATTAATGCATAAGATTATTGGCATAACATTTAACTAACTTAGTATCATCAGTCAGCCACAGTGGTGTGATTAATAAAGTATAAAATACCATTTATACGCTCAGAAAATGCAGTACAGCTCTCTAAAAGCTTCATAACTGTCACAAATAAACTAAAACTAAACCCTGTGTAGCTAAATAAGACTTAACGTTAAAACTGATGAAGTCTCTGAGCTAACGGTATAGCCTTTAATATAAGTTGTATACCGGGGTTTTAAAAACAGTTAAACGTGCTTTAAAATCAGTACATGTCTGTTAGACGCTATCCTGGACTTTAAATACCAAACCAAACTGCATTCAGCCTGACACCGGGTTAATTAGCTAACATGTAAAAGTGGAGTGGTGTCACCAAAGCTAAGTGGACAGTCACACGACACTTTCCCTCGCATTCATTCTTTTGTGTCGTTTGGTTATTCCGGCTCGACGTGACACTTAATATCGCAATGAGGGTTCATATTTACTTAATAGAACATTAGACAACGTGTAATGTTACCTGTGTGGTGATAATTTATCTGTTTTGTTGACATGTCAAGTTCCCTGCTCTGCTCTGCTAGGATCTCAGCTGCCGCAACTACCGCGAGAATTCGTCTCGACAACGCGACTGGTGGTAGGTAAATGACAGAGTAGAGGGCCACTTGAAAATGTTATGTTCTTTAGTCATTTAAAGTGATTTTTACCGGACGACAATGTTATAATCTACACGAAGTGAAATTTCATATCTATTAAGATTAAAAGTAACCCATATTTATATTTAAAATTGCCCCCCTCCCTTTAAATGACAACATTTCATTGAATTACGTTATATTACGGTAAAGCAATGCGCACTACAAATGTGTTCAGGCTGTTAAGGGTAACAGCGCCATATGCTGGTCTACTCTTACATAACAACGAAGTCACACACATCTACCCCCAGGCCAATTTACGCCACATGATTGCTTCTCATGGGTCATTATAACTTTTTAGCAAGCATAATTTAAATTCATCCCATAAATGGGCATGTTGTCGACTCTGTGTTAAATAAAATCAATGCATCCATCCATCCATTACTTATAATGCACAGCTGTGCTTGGATTATTTTGTGAGCCATGAGAATTCACATTCATTTGAAATACAAGCGGTGTCAGAAATAGACAGGCTATACAAAGTTGCTTCTTCAGCATGTGCTCTGCCATGCAGCAGAATTACTGCTCTGACTTACAGAGACTGGAAGTAAGAGCTTTATTGGGAAAAAAGAAAGGCTTTGCCTTCAGGCTTCAGTGGGGCTGAAAAAGTAGATTAGGATGCCTATTACTTAATTTACATTATTCTTTCAAATTTGGGGTTACAGGCTGGATTTCAATTTCCTTTTATCTGGAACACATTTTGTGTAATAATAACCTGAAGTCATTTCTTTTCACTTGTTCTGTTTCGCTAAAAAAAAAAAAAAAAAACACCCTATCTGCAACATGCAACACTGATATGAAAACACTGTGTCAAGTTCACTTGACTGCCCACAACTTCTTAATTGCAGACGGAGTGCTGGTTAGCTTGCCAGGATGAGTGAGCGTTACTCTTACAATTCCCATCTGCCATAGTGCCAGACCAACTGAGGCATGCCATTTGGAAATGAGTTTCTCCATAATCATCCAGCCTGTCTTCTTGGTGTGTTTAATTGGGACGAGATAGTGGCGATAGTGAGGGGGTGGAGGCAGGTAGTGAGTGGACTATGCAGCCCCTGCTTTGCTGACAATATAAGAAAAAATTCACAAAGGTTTGAAATTTGTGTGTGTGTATGTGTGTGTGTGTGTGTGTGTGTGTGTGTGTTAGCCAGGGCTGAGAAGGCTGCTTTCTACAGGCCCTTTGGTACTTGAGAGGTCATCTATCATCACTGATCAAAGTATTGATCACATCAAGGCAAGCTGATGGAAAATTCTTTGTTTTCAAATGTTTATTTCATGTTAACATGATCAAACCACATTGAGAGAAAACATTCTTATAAAGTCAAACTTTAAAAAACATCACAAGCCAATCATGTGGGGGGAAAAAGCTTTTTTCCAAGATTCTTTTACCAAGAGGCTGGAGTGCACCACTGTACAATACTCATAACAGTATTCATGTTTTCTCACTCTAAACAGAAGGTGTGTGTTGGCAAGTTTTATAACATTAATGTCATCTCTTTCTTTTGGCTAGAAATGTATTTTAATCTGCACTAATCTGATGTTACCTTTGTGTTTAGGGATAATCCCTGCAATACTGTTTTTTCACCTGTTCTTGAGTCTTTAACACCAGAGAGACAACAATTTAGATCACACTTACAAAATGGATCACCAGAATTTAGTTTTTCTCACTTGCTTCTCAGGGCTTCTGTACAAACCTTTACTGGAGAGAAGAAGATTCATATAAATCATTACCTTTGTGTGTCTCGTGCAGCATACTGTACATCATGTAAATGAGGCGTCTTGCATAAAAGAAACCCATCAAGAAACACGGATTACCTTGAAATTGATGGCAGATTCATTGTGCTATATCATCTCATCAATGCTGCAGGGGCTTGAACCTTGAACATGACAGGGTTAGACAGCAAGAGGAAGACGAGGGGTGAAGAGGTAGGAAATAGAAAAAGCAAAGCAGGGAGGAAACCCTTTAAGAAGAGCTGGAGAAGGAGCAAGAAGTAGCTGAAAGTGAGACCGACAGAACACCCCATGTGAGGAAACACAAACCGTGTAATAATTATTAGCTGAGGGGGTATCAGGACTAAAACGGATTATCTAGCCACCTAGTGCATTCACTCTTGCTGTAATTAAATACGCACTGATCTGGTCCCTCCAGGGCTAAGTTCGAATGGCGAGGGAAGGGAGCATTCACTTTCGAAAGTCTCTGGACTCAAGAATGAGATTAGCGTAGTTGAAGGTATAGGAAACAGGCATAAAGTGTATGGGGAGGGCGAGCATATGGTTAGGTGTGCATGTGTACTGTATATGTGCATGTGAGCAGGAATGTAAAAATACTCAACACTACTACTATTATCTGATATTTTAGTGTTAGCATTAAAATACCTCACATTTCATGTATAAAATATGTACATGTACTCAGACTTTATAGTTGCTGCTGTGGCTTAGGAAGTAGAGTAGGTTGTGAATTTGATCCCCAGCTCCTCTTGTCCACAGCCAAAGTGTCCTTGTCCAAGACACTGCTTCTTAATTTGCCAGTCTTGCATGGTAGCTCACTGCTATTGGAGTGTTTGTGTGTGAATGAAACACCTTATACATATACACACACAGTATGTTATAGACTAGACTAAACTGTATAGCGTTTTTCCAGGTACTATGTATATTTAGATTTAGAGTATTTATTCTAATTAAGGTTTTTATTTGTTACTGACATGTTTTTAATTATTTCTTAAAGTTAAAAAAACAACATAAAAAGGCATAAATGATCTGTCTTTCCAAATTAATGGGTAAGCAGTATCAAAATTAAAAGACATACAAATGTAAATTCTACATGTAGCTGCATTAAGTACATTTAAAACCCCTATAGAAGCAGCACCCCACTAGTGGATCACCTATGCAGCCAAACATTACACCCACAGGAAAAATAGTACCCTTTCATGCATGAATTTTTAAAAACTTTCTCTAGATTTTTAAAGATTCTTTTTATTACCCAAAATTGTGCTAAAATTGAAACCATTTACATTTTCTACAAAATTCTGTTTTATTTTCAAATTATTTAACTATGGAATATTACGCTTTTTATGGCATGTTATGTATTTAAGCTCAATTATTGGAAACTAACAATAAAACACATATTTTAGAAACGAATAGAGGAAAAACACTAATATTTCTAACTGTAGTTACATGTATACAGAAACCCAGTTGCATATTTTTATCCTTATCTAACTTCACATTGAATAATCTCACTTATTACATATCATCATACCAAATTTAACAGATTTTATAGTTTTAGTTTACAGTACATGAGTACAATACTTATTTCACGTGAAAACCCGCAAAGCAGTCATGAGTTGTCATTTCACACTGTAATGTGCACTTTTGCATTGTTATTTATGTTCATATTTGTTAAATGTCTGTTTTATTATAACGTAATACAATTCATCACATTTTGAAAAAGTACAATAGGTAACCATGATACATTAACCCAAATGTGGACACCATGAATGAAATGGTTAAAATTTTGATATTTAAGTAAAAGGGCACCAGCAAGCTCTTTGTCAGTCATTATTAATGAAGCCTTTGAGAGTGCTACAGTAGCTCAGGACACCCATAGCTCTTACTGCAGGAAACAGCAGGGTAGAAGAAGGTCAAACTAAAATGAGCTGTAAACACTTATGTGTCAGTAACATGTCAGAGGCCCCTGGTCCCCTTAAATGGCCGCCCAGGTATATTTTAAATAATCACACAAGCTGGTCTAAGGTCAAAGAGGTGGGGGACCATTAATGGGGATCAAAATGCCCTTCTAGACAAAGGATCCATTTGTGAGTTTGTTGCCCAGCAACTGGGGCTGGCAGTAAGAGTTTAAAACGGATACAGCGCTTCGTCATTTAGGATTTTATGACACTTTAAATCAGATGTTGAAAGCAAGACTCATAAGAGTATTTGAAAAAGGAATTTTTTATTTCATCTTGTACCTTACAACTTGTACAAAAGGCAGTGGAAAGGCATTTGGATAATGTATTAAAATACACTTCATGCTCTCCACATACAGTACTTCTGAGGTTGCTGGTGTAACAGTCTATGCATGGAAATCATTTATTGATCTGTATTTACGACGTCACAAGGTAAACAAACAGTAATTCCAATATGTGTTGAGGACAAGGAATGTGTGTGTCTCAACATGAATATACTTAAAAAGGAAAGAACTTGTGAATATTAAAGTTTTAAATAAGTTAAAACTTCACATGAGGATGTGCAAGGGGAGGTTTTCTTCTAAAAATCATTTCAGTCAAGAAAGCTTGTCTTTCATTTAGGCTCACTGTTATTTCAATATCAACATTTCTTCGGGAATGTCAACACAAAAGGCACTTAAGGCGCAGTCATGACACTTTGGTATTGTCACAATAAGACCCTAGGGCCCAATGAGCAATGCAGAACAACAAAATAGTGTTATCACCAGAGGTTAAAGCAGTTAAAGCATAGATTGGCCTTATGTGCCAGGATCAGACAGAGAATCTGAGCATGCTCCTACATCTTGGGTTCCTCACACAGGGTACATCCAGGCTTCAGGTCGGCCTGTCTCTCCATTTGAATCGTAACAGAGTGGAAGTTGTAGGAGGAGAAACAAGCCTGTGTCATTTCTCTTAGGACAGTCTGAGCATCCACTGACTCATCTGGGGAGGAGAGACAGAGACAAAGGAAACGGCAATAAACAAATGTTACCCTCATGTCATGTCATATCACCCTTTGTGTTTATACTGTAAATGTATGCGCCTTAAAACTTTTTCAGCACCAGTTTCATTGCAGAAGAAAAGAGAAAGAAAAGTCTAGAGGCACACTAGAAGCCTCTTGAGGTTGTTATACTGATTCATTGACAGAATAGAAAGAGTCTGTGTGCTATACACAAGAAAACAAAATTGTTTGATGGATG